CCCCGCAGCGTCAAGCTCCTCACCCCCGTGATAATTCTCGATCGTTGGCACGCTGATAACAATTTTTTTTTTTTAAATGGCACTTCATATCAAACAGGTTGCCGACCCCTGCCTTATACTGTACTATGTTGTCTTGATTCAAATTGGAAGGCAAAAAAAGTTAGTACTTGGCTAAAAACAAAAAGTTTCCAGGCTAAACATGTGGAGTTAGAACTGCCATCCTCCCTGCATCTTCCTCCCCCTTCTCGCTAGTTTCTGCTTGTTCAACTCCCATACCCTCACCTAACCCCGACTCTTTCTCCCTCATGCCCTCCCTCCCTCCCTGTGATGATAAGGCAGGCAGAGCTCGAACTCAACTGTCAGACAGGAGGAGAATAGAGAGAAATGCTGAGGGAGGCAAAAAGTGAGGAGAGTCTTCCCTCTCTCTCTCCTTTTTTCTTTCTGGGGGAACTGGTCAGGTGCCAACATCAATGTACTTTACTGTACGGCTGGGCGGGCACAGAGAGTTGCTGGCCTGCCATGCGTGGCTTAATGTCGCTCTGTCCTTGCCCTCATTCTTTAGCCTGCCAAGCTAATGATGATGATGAGGACGAAAACGAGGAGGAGGAGGAGAACACTTAGAAGTTGGCTAAGCGGCTCATGGTATAGATTTCTGTCACGGGGGAATGCATTTGCTGATGAGGATGTGGGTGTGTCAGCAGAGGAAGTGTGAACATGCACGTGTGTTTTTCTCTCGCTTACCTTGTCGTTGTTGTAGTAGGCCAGGCTCTCGCCGTCGAATCTCACCCACCGCCTCTGGAAAACACAATTCCTGAAAAGAGAAGGTAGAGGCAGATTCAATTCAGGTGGCGCATTCGACCCAACTAAACCAGTTCCATGAGAAATAAGTGAAACATTTCTAAAACCGCCAGGACAGTAAGCAGGTTACAAAGTCTGCCCTGAACGGGAACTCATATTTCATCAGGAGTGCCATTGATTCATTAATGTCAGGAGTTGTATCAACAGCTGTCAATTAGCATAATCAAAACAAATGGGCACTTTCAATTTGAATATTCAACAGCCCGGGGGCAGTTCGCCAAACCTATGCAAATCAGGTGGTGAAGGAGAATATGAAATGGGAGTAAATGATTGATAGCTCCGGTTTTGAGTGAGCCCGTGGTACTAAAAGACTCGCAAAGAGGTAGTGCTGCCAGAAAAAGCCAAACTAAATGAGAGCTGACATGAATTTCAATCCTACAAGGTTATTTCCTGTCTTCTTTTTTCTGTCCTTCCGCTTTCAATGTTGCCATGTATTATGGATAGATCGGCTTCAGTCTTCCGTATCTAATGCAATTTATTAGTTTTAAATGGTCATCAATGATAGAAGACTCATAGGGGAAGTTGGAAAATATGCAGAATACAAAAAAAAGGGTCTGCAAAGATAACAGGAAGCAGTGGTTGGCTTCCTGTGGTGGTGACTTCAAGCTTGATTTGTTTAGGTGAAAGGTTAATAAATAGACTGAGAACATTCAAGAAGAAGCTGCAGTAAAAGGTTTTATGTACATCCAACTAATATTACATGGATACTAGGGATGGGAACAATTAATGGAATTGCTTTTTTCTTTTATGGGAGTGGTGACTAAGTTGATTACATATTATCAAATGGAATAATTCAATGTATACGACAGTGCCATAGCTAAATGTGTTCGGTGTAAAGGTGTGTTTTGATCCGCTCACCGGTCCCCCACAGCGGGCAGAGCTGCAGGTGCTGATCTCTCTCTCGCGTCCGGTTATACTTCACTCGCGTTTATGTCCAAATCCATCAGATCTAGCTAGTTCTAGCTAATGATATGGCTGCTGCCCCTCCCTACACGCAGATCACGCAGACTCAAACCTCATCTTATGCCCAAATTCCAGCTGAGAGGGTCTTCTCTACAGCTGGCCTGATTGTGAATCGTCTCCCCACCCGCCTCTCCCCAGAGTAGACATGCTCATATTCTTAAACAAGAATGAGTATTAAATAGCTGCATTCTGTACATAGGCCCTGTAATAGGTTTTTGATCTCTGTTGTAATAGAGTTACGTTACCCTAACCCATTATGTTGTTCGTGTATGATCCCTCTTTCATTTAAAAACACAGTTATGTTCTAAGCATGAAAGCTGTAGGCCTATAGCTGTCAACTGTTCAAACTGTGATCACCAGTTCAATACATTTGACAAATTCGACTTGGTTTCTATACTTATTTGAACATGTATTTATTTATTTTTTAGGCAACATTTTTCCCACATTTCTTTTTTATAGGATATGTACATTTCGGTTAATCGGTTAACCGTTTCTTTGGGGGTCGAATATTCAAATATACATTTGCTTTCAAATTCCCATCCCTAATGGATACAAATGGATTTCTCTAACCACAGTCACCTTGTTTAGGAGTGCTGTTACCTACCCTTGAGGCGACAGCTTGTCCAGCCATCCCACTTTGAGCACCTGGTGTTTGGGGGCTCCATAGAAGCATGCGTACGGAGAAATATCAGGAAGTGCATTTCCCAGAGCCTCTGCAGGATCGGCGTAGAGGTCACACTCCACCATGATTAAAGATCCATCCTCAGGGCCAGAAGCTGCTGATCCCACAGAAGGGGCGTCAGGGGTGACGGGGAAACTATGGTCCAAACTGACCATGCTAGCACACTCATCCACAGTGGAGTATGCATCTTGGTAAGGGTCTGGGATAGTTGGAGCAGGGGGAATGTCCTGGTCCTTGGATTTCTTCCTTTTAGGAGGCTTTTTTCTGTTGGAGCATAGGTGTTGTTAGAGGAGCTGTTGGACATTTTAGGGATTACTTATCAGTCCGTTGAGAACACTGTCCTATTAGCTTAGTCTAACACTTTGTATCTTAAGCTTCAAAAGGAGATGGGTGCTGGGACTGTTTTTGCTGAAAAACAGGAAGTAATTGCACCCGGCCAAGACATTTTCGAGTTTTACCACCCTGTAAAACCACAGTTTATTTTTAGATCTCTGGTTAGCTACACAGCCACAAAGTGTTAATACAAAATAAAAAAAGGGCTAGAAAATCTCATTTAAGTCTCAGCATTAGAGCGAATAAGCGTGTTTCCTAAAATGTCATACTATCCCTTTAAAAATGATTAGTTTCAATTGAAATGTATAATTATTGACCAAAAATGACTTGTGATGCATCATGTTTTCTAAGTAACATGGTTGTTTTCTAAATGTAGCCCATCATATACAGTATGACCGCGATACATGATCAAATCGAATGAATGTTTGCAATGTTTACACCGTTTGTATCGCAAAATCTTGTGGTGAGCACTTCCCTTTTTGAACATCTAAATGATTATTTATACATCTACAGTGTGGGCCAGCGGTGTTACATCAGCATACTGTACCTGTGTTTCTTCTGTTTTATCTTGTCTTTAAAACCCTTCTGTAAGCCTTCTTCAGGGCCGAGGTCCTGCAGAGCACAGAGGAGATTAACATCAGATGAGAACAAAGTGTCCGCCTTACACCGTTATCATGCTGCTGCGCTAAGCTATGTTAACTTTAGTGGCTAGGTGACATTTCCATTAACCTCAGGGGGACAAACTGAAACAAGCACATTTCCACTCGGCTGTGTGTCTACGGTGACAACATTAACACAGAGTGAGGAAGTTTGCTCTGCGGTTGAAACGCCACTGATAGATCTGAGAAATGTCTGTTCCTCTTTGGCGAGCTGCTACTCACTGTCCGCTAGCGGGGAGGGGGGGGGTGCGTTGTCTTACCGCAGTGCTTTCGGGGTTGTTGTACAGGAACATTTCTCCATAGGGAGCGATGGGCGTCAAGGTTCTTTGAAGTGGAGCTAAAAAGGACACAGGAATAAAATAGTAGTTTTGTCATAGCATTGGAACTTGCGACGGCCTAAAATCAAAGTAAGTAATAGGATTGTTCCAGTTCAATTTAAAATCACTCAAATGTTATAGTGGCTTTTGATTAAACCAACGCATTGATCTGAATAAAACCGTGCCAACCCCTTGATCCATGTAAACCAATTAAATGTTGTTTTTCCCATCTCTCTGCTTCGGCCTTTTGCTTTACCCCCAACTGGGAGAAGGATCCTCCTCAGTCTGCTTCAAACAGACGGAGGCTCTGCCAAGGCCATTTCTCTGTCTCGCTTCCTGCAGGGACCGTGTGCAGTGGTTGTTGGAAGAGAAGGAGAAGAAGAAAAGCGGAGAGACTGTGGCCAGACACCATTAGTCTGGAGACCCCAGGCCACCCTTGCCAATGCCTGTCACTGTGAAAAATGACACCGCCCTCTCCTGAGGATTGCGAGGAGGCCAAAAAGACACCGCCAAGGGGCTAGACACACAGACACTGGCGGAGAGGCAGATAGCTGCGCGGACGGGGATCGAAAGACACATAAAAATGCCTCGAGACAAACGCAGACATAAAAAGGATGGACAGTCAAATAAGTAGTGGCAAATACTCCAGTACTGATGTGAATGTGCTGGTTTTTTAGACAATGCAGGCCATTACAGAAGGGCACAAATGGCATGTTGTGGTGTAATACAGCCAACACGTTAGCGTAATAAGTTTCATTGTTTATTGCTTTATAAATGACATCATCTGTCTGCGAGCCAGCCTGACGATGTTTACTTTCAGTTTGTTTGTGAACATTAAGAGAACAGTGTTTTTCTCTTAACCGTTCATCTCAATTATCTCTGTTGGCTGTGCGTAAATTCATAAGGACCACAGCCTAAATAAATCACCATAGCTGTATAAGTATTTTCTTTAAATTGGGACACATTCATATCGTGAGCCAACTTGGAGACCCCATCTCCTTTATAACTGGGCTTGGTAAGCTCAAGTCAGTTAACTTGATGATAGAATACACTCCAGCGCCGCCGCCCTCTCTGCGGACAGGCTTGTTGGGCAGATAGCAAACCATCAGTCATCATCTATCAGCCGACCTCCAGGCCACACAGACAGCCTGCCGGACGCTACTCAATTCCTGTCGGATTCCCTCTATTCTTTAGTCTTCAGTTGCTTCCTTCTTTATCTGCTCCTGACCAGACCCTCTCTCAAGTCGCCATCTTGGAAGGTGCCGCCATGAGTTTGGAGTTTGTGAGGGGATTGATTTGATTGTGAATGAAGCCTCCATTTCTTTAATGTGCGGGAGGGAAAGGTCGGTTTGTAATTATCGCTCCTGTGTCACACTCACACTGTGCATTGAGGAAATACAGCTACCACAACCTGAATTTAAATTAATCAAATGAGTGTTTATTATTTCAGTAAAAGCTTGCCTAGCTTCACGGCTGAGTAGTGAGAAAAGCGGAAGGTGACATTTCTCAACACAACAAATTATAATAAACAAAAACTGTCGCTTTTCAGCATGAGTCATATTGTCTTTGTTCGTTCTGAGGTGTGACTTAGCACTAAAAGTGAAGTCGTGCTGTCAGTGTGACATTTGTGCACCAAGGTGATATCTGTCAACACCCCACAATGTCACACAAACCAGCTTACACACAGGTTAAATAGGGAAGCGCAATGAACTTTGTGTAAATGTCATTGTATGATCAAATGCCATTGACTGGTAAAGCTAGTGATATACTTAGAGTGCTATGTAGCTGCTGAAAAGACTCTTAATTACAATTCTGTGAGCGTCTGACGTTTGTTTTTTATTTCGAACAGATTAAAAAACAACAAATAAAAAAATAACAAAATGTGAAAAACAGAATACCGCATTGTTAAAATTTGTATCCATCCACATTCATGGTAATATCTGTATTCAACAAAAAACCAAAAAAAGTCTTCATATTAATAATAATAATAAATCATATGTGTCCGAAAGGGAGTAGGAGGAAGCAAATGCTTATTAATTCCCACCCCTTACTTTATCAATGATTGTCCTTTAAAATCACTATGCAAGTTGTTCCTACCTACATTTACATTTATACATACATATACAATAATTTCTCATCTTCATCACTTTTCTTCATTCCCATAGTTTTTCAAAAAAGTGTTTCTGTACATCCTTTTAAACTGAATGATGCTTGTGCTTTGTTTTAACTCCTGCTCCAAACCATTCCATAAACTCACCCAACAGATTGTTATACTCATACTTCTCAGAGTTGTTCTGACCTTGAGTTGTTTAAAAAGTAGATTTCCTCTCAAATGATACCCACCCTCTCTGTCTACGAACAATGTTTTTAATTTCCTAGGAAGTAGATTATGTCTTGCTCTGTACATGATGTTAAGTTCTCATTGAATACTGTGAGACTACACTGCTCTTTTTTTCTCAAGTTTTGGATGAACTTCAAATATGCTCGGTTAAAATTATATGTCAAATATTGCCTTGCTAGACGTCGCTGTGAAGGGAGCTTTAGCTTGCTAGTGGAGCTCCCCATCTCCCTGCTCGGGGACCGTCTTGGCTCCCTCTCTTCCTCCAGTCTCGCAGACTGTTTTGCATCCGTCTCCTCTTCCTTCCTCCCAACACACTTCACTGTCTTGATGCCCTCTCAAGTCTCACTCCCTTTCTTGTTCCATACAGAGACAAAGTTGGAAAAAACAAGGCCTGCCAAGAGACAGATACAGCGGAACGAGCAGCGAAGGGGAAGCGGGGAAAAACGTGAGGGGAGTTTAAGTGAAGAAAACGGGACAGCAAACTGTTGATATGCCGCGGAGAAGATGTCACAATGCGGACAAATATTCCACCAATAAGAGTGACATGTTCTCCTGTTTTACACATAGTCATACAGACTGTTCAAAAACACAGCACCAATATTGAATTTTAAACACAAATTAATTAAATGTTTTTGATTACGTTTAATAATTTAGTCTGTATATAGCTACTTAAAAAGCCCTCTGGAAAATATCGTTATAATTATTTATTTTTAAAGTATTTGTATCTATTTGTGTAATATGTATTTTAATGTTATAATCCCAGGTGAAACATTTGACCTAAGCACAAAATCAGCTCACGTACTATCTCATCAGATGAGGGTCGAGGAAGCCCAGAAGATACAACGAGAAGAGAACAAAATTCAAAGCATGTTTGTTCTACAAGCCTGTGTGTTGTTAGCAAAGTTAAACAACTTCTACAAAACTTTGGAGAGCCGGGCGACAGGAATACACACCGGGGTCTCGCTGAGGGACGAGATGTAAGAGAGTATATTCCCTGTGAGATGTGCGCTTGAAATTAGGGAGGGGCCCTTTCCCATAACACAGCCAACTCACACACACACACACACACACACACACACACAAACTTGTCTCCTCTACCTTCTTTCATCCGGGCAAACAAGAGCACCGCTGACTCTACTGTGGAATGAAATATTCATGGCGGAGATGAAGCAGCGGAGAGACGCCGTACCTTTCTGTATGCCGTTTGCACCGGTGGGACCCTCGGAGCCGGTGAGGTGTTCGAGGCTGGTTGTTTGCGCCGGCGCTGCGCTCCTGAGGAGGAAGAGAAATCAGCGGATTACAACCACCGACCCCGACGTGGGAAAAGCAGGTTTACTCGTAAAGGCCTTCGGAAGAGAGAACTCTGGAAGTTAGTTTCCCAGGTCAAAAGTCGAAGAATGTATATAGCACGAGAAAGGGTAATGTACGTGGAATGCAGGGTTGAATATGAAAGGCCTTAAGGTTCTCCAATAGTGTAAATCTGAATGCAGAGAGGGAAACTCCTGTTTTCATATTCATTCATGCGATGGAAGCGAGCAAATGTATGTCTCCAGGTGCTTCTCGCTGTGCTCCTCTAACTTGTTTGATTAGTTCTCAACTGCTCATAAACTTCCATCAAGTCAAACTTTATGCTCAAAGGAATAGTTTGGAAATACTTCTTGAATGTTGAGAGTTAAGTCAGAGAAATTGATGCTATGTATCCGACTTGCAATTATCTTTACATTTATATATGCATTCTTTTTTTTAAATCTTTTCTTGGACAATTTTTGTTTAAATTCTAACCTTCATATAACTTTGTTTTTATAAAATGTTTTCTTTTTATTGCACATTCTTACATCCTAAATATTTATTTATACAACACAAGACACACATTTTCCCCCGGGGAAAATTTGTATTTGTGATTTTGATTCTAACGTTGAGAGCATGTAATTCATCTCTCTGCATCAAAGTAAATGCACACAGTCCCAGGAGTGGAGATAACTTAGTATATTTACCGTACAAATCTGTGTAACTTCTACTTCAATTGAGTGTTTTACAGCATACTTCCTTAGGTCTAGGTTAAGTTACTGCAGTAGTATATAATACATTCAAATGAACCCCATATTTAACAGATGAAAGACATTCATTCAATATACTGTGTATATGATGATGAACTGTACTACTTTACTTTTGGTCCTATCTTTTATGCTATAAACGTATTGTACTTTTCCTTGACTATGATTTAAATCAGGGGTGTCAAACTCAAGGCCTGGGGGCCAAATCCGTCCCGCGACTTCATTTCATGCGGCCCCGCAAGAGCTTGCAAAAAATATAACATGTTTATTACGGTTACATGCCGATTTACAGAAGCACGTTGCCCATAAACTACATGTCCCACAATGCATCTCAAATTTGACTTTTTTCTCTGAACTTGACTTTTCTTTTTTAAATTATTTTGTGACATTCTCACTGAAGAGACTTGCAATTATTTTCCCTAGACTTCTGCTTTCAGACGTAGTTAATTATGAATTTATTACCCTATCCGATAATAATCCAATGCAGAAGCAATAATGTAATATAATACATTATTTTATATATATTAAATATTTATATATAGTCTTTAAGTTACAACCGGCCCTTTGAGTGCAACCATAATGCTGGTGTGGCCCGCGATGAAATTGAGTTTGACACCCCTGATTTAAATGCAGGACTTTATCTTGTAACAGAATATTTGTACACTGTGGTACTGCTATTTTCTTAGAGCAAAAGATTTTTGAGTAATTATTCTAACTATTTCCTAAAGTGTTGGACTGTTACTTTAAGATAACAGTTACCTGTCCTGAGGTGGCAGTGTGGGCTGATTGGGGATCTGAGGGACGGGACGGTGCCTCAGCCGGTAGGAGCGAGTGAGCCGTGGACCAACAGGAACCTTAAAACTGGGCTGAGCCTCGTAGATCGAGTTTTCCACCATATTCCCTTGAAAAACCCAATTGTCTTCAGTGAGCGATGGGTGGGGGCCGTCAGCCAGACAGGGGAAGGAGTCGGCGCTGGATAGAGACGGGTTCTCTGAGGAAATGTCCCAGTCTGAGGGCATCTCAGATATGGAGAGGAACTCGCTGCTGCTACTGCTGCTGCTTCTGGAAAAAACGGAGGTGGGGACACAGGGAGGTTCAGGAGGGGATGTTTGAATATTTTGGGGATCTCGAGGAGCCGGTACAGGCGGACGAACACATCTTCTCTCCGTGACGTCCTCAAATTCTGTTCTCTGTCCGGCTCCAGGAGGCAAAGTCTGACTCCCCTCAAACTCCATCCTCTCCTTTGGCTGTTGGTTGTGACATGAAGACCCCCTCTTTTTATCCTTCAGGAATATACGTCTCGGGTGTGGCACAGGCCTCCTTCCACGCCTCCCGTTCTCTTCATCTTCCTCTTCCTCTCCACCGCTCGGCTGCTTCACACCTAGTGCTTCCAAACTGCGAAGGATGCGCCTCCGATGGCCTGTTGGGATCACGTTCAGCTCCTGGAGACACTCATCTGTGAGGTCACTGCAGTCTTCAAGACATTGATAGCCTCCTTGATGGAAATATGAGGTGTACTGGGACAGGCGGAGGGTGGACAGCCACTCCACAATCTCCTGGCTGGAATCCGGAGGCTCCAACATGATGCTCTGGTCTCACCTCTGCTGCATCAGAAGGGCCTCTGGAAGGTAGTAGTCAGCTTTAAACTGTAGATACACAAAGAAAGATTTTGAACAACATGCATAGACTTAAGAGGCTTTTAGTGCCAACTGAACTGAATTGAATTATGTATCGTTAATTAATTTTTGAAAGTTAATTTTTTGAACTATCTGAAAGGCTCTTATAATATAAATTCTACACAAGGTAAACAAATTCAAAGTTGATGAGGTATGCAGATGTTTGTATTCTTTTGCCCCTGCTTTAAGCGTTTATGCTGTGCTAAAACAACCGTTTGTAGCTTTACATTTAGCTTGTAGACATGAGATTAACACTGATACTGCCGCCATGTAATCTCATACATATAGCAAACAAGCCTACTTCTTATAATATCTACTCCTTTTAAACTATAAAGATCAAACACATGTACTGCAAATTCAACAAGAGCGGAAACACATAAGCAAATCTAAAATTTGCAACACTCCTGGATGAAACAGCAGGAAACAGCAATAGCTATGAGGACATAGCATGCTAACATTCAAGTGTGGCTCTACAGTCAGGTTTAGGGAATAGACTTACCTTAAGGTCTGATTCCAAATAACACAAACTGGATTCCAGCAAAAAGGCCAACTGACATATTTGTCTCAAAGGTAGAGTTTAAAAATCCCAGTTTTATATCACAGCTCACTGCCAGCATCATAATAACCCTTTGAAATGGCAAGCTATTGATAAATGTCTGTTTCCTGTCTATCATCTTTTCAAAATTGAGCACTGATGAATTGTGAGGCAGAACTGCTCTCTCTCTCTACCTCACACACACACACACACACAAACACACCCACACCTACACCCACACCCACAGGAAGGTTAATCAACATCTTGCCATGTCTACTTCTCCTTTGGGTTGTAAACCTACAGTGAGAAAGGTATATGAAGTGTTACTTCTGCTTTCTAACAAACACAATCTTGCAGCATGTGTAACCATTTGCATACTTCACTGTGCAAGTAATTCACCAAGAGAACAGGAACTAAACTTTCCATATCTTATAAATGCACTTGAGATGAAATCATGTATTTGAATAAAAATCTGATATGATCGCCAAAACGTTTTTAACTATGCATGCACAAAGACAACATTATTTTGCTCAGAATGTTAGGAGGACATTAGCCGGGTTTTTTGTATGGTCAGATTCCTTTTTAAAGTTGCTGCTTTGCATTCTTATTACTTAGCAGCAGTAACAGAATACATGTAAAGGGATTACGTAATCAGAATACCAAAAAAAAAGTTACTTTATGCTATGTATGTATGTATGTTACTTTTACTTATGACTTACAGTCATATAAAAAAAATGTTATTATCAGATTACTGCTGAAGGTTTTAAATGGCATATCATTGGATATGGAATGCTAAGGCCTGTATTAAAGGCAGTATTTACTTTGGTTTTCATCTTTTTAGAAGTTCAGTAGTGATGTGATGTAATGTGGTTGCTCTTAACCCATATACTGCACTGTAAAATTAGCATATTGTGTTTCTTTGATTCATTTGTTCTTTCTTTATTAAGTAGGTTAACCCATGTGTTTAAAAATAGTGTGGGTGTACCAAACACAGAGTATATTAGTACAGTATGTATTGCTTTTTTAAACTGTGGTATGCGGTCATGTGTTTCTTCATTGGTCTTACTGTAAGACTACTGCATGAATTTGCTTGATGAAAGGCATCAACATATCTAGTTTTCTTCTCATTTAAGGTTACATTGTTCTATTATCTTACTGTACAGTATGTAACTCACTTAAGTTCTGATGTTTCTTTTGACTTGTATCTATTTACTTGTATTGCATTTGATAGTGTGCATGTAATAACAATATAACAGAAATGAAATCACGTTTGAATAACTTTTTATAGTGTTACTTAGATTCAATTACCAGTAGTTACACTTTTTTACTTAGTAGTTGTAATGGAATATATTTGTTAACTTACCCTCCCAACAGTGCTGAGCACACAGTCCCAGCTTCACACCACTATATTAGGTCCTCACAAAGGGGGTTCACTCCATCAGACCTGCCCCGCTGTGTATTGCACTGTTAACATGCAGGGACCTGCATTGGCTAACAGCCAGCCCAGGCACACGCCAAAGCCTGCTAGCACATTTGACCTGGACTGCTCCTCATCTCTGTCTTTTAGCGCTTCTACAGTACCCCCACTCACACAGCTGCACACAAACACAGAGCTACCCACCAAACACAGCAAACACAGCAAACACCATTAAGGGCTGGATATGGGAGTTTTGATCCACAGCTATTGCCTGGTGTCTCACTCCGGAGGGTGTTTAGATCAGTAGCAAAAAGAGAACTTAACAATATGAAACGGCTTGCACTTCCCACTTGGGCGTGCGAACATATGAAGCACTGTGTGTGCACTCGTAAAGATACTACAACACACACAAACGCATTAACACAACTCACTGAAATGCACCAGGATGGAACATATGTCGCTAGATATTGACTAAGACAGAGCATCTTATAAAGGGTAAAGAAAACTAAGATTGACCAGCTTTAGTGCGGCTTGCAGACGCCAACAGATATGGAATTAGATTGATAGTAGTATAAAAATGTGTTTGTATATGTCTGTCTTTAATCAGAGCTGATGCAGATCTATGTTTTTAAACAAATATGTTCAAGACTACACTAAATGGCTTCGGACTTAAGAAGTTTACTTTAATCTGAAATGCATTTAATGTATTACCCTGTATTTTCATTTGTAATGTGTCTGCCTTTTTTTTAATCCTACCTATTAATTCAGACAATGTATTATGGATAGGTTTTTAGGTAATTTGGTTAGGTCGTGTTTTTAAGTTTATAAATGTTTCTGTGTGATACAAAAACTCCCTCCAATTTTGGATATGTTAGTATGTATTGTAAAAACTCTGTTTAGTGTACGAGCCCCTATTCTAAAGCTTTGGATAGATAATTAGGGGGGCATATTTTCACATTATGTCAATTTATCTCTTGATTTTTACTAGTATGTTTTACTTTGGTGAATAAATAATTGAAATGATCTGAATTGAAGCTGTTCCTCAACAACAAACTGTCTGAACGCATGGCTACCTACACAGGAGAAGTATGAGCAGTTAGGTGGGGTAACACCCACTAGGCACACCCTTAGGTATGGTTATAAAGTACAAGGGGTGAGTCATAGCATACACACCTACCTCATATTTCTGCACATCTCACAGCGAACTAACTTTGAACAAAGTCCAATTTTGGTGTCCCCTTCCTGGTTTGGGAAAACACACCTGGGTTCTCTGCTGAAATGTTATCTACTTAAATATCAAGTGGTGTTTTGAGGAGACAGTCACACAAAAGATAATGAAAGAATGCTATCATATTAAATTAAGTAGACAATAGACTTTCAAAAGCTGCCATTCTACAAGCTTTGCAGTGTGTTTACGTTGAAATAACAAAGTAGTGCAACACTAGTGGTCACATGTGAGTGAGGTGTATTTCTTTAGCCTGTGTTTACACTAATGAAAAGAAAGGTATTAAAACGTTGTGAAAAGTACAAGTGGGAGTGACGCAGTTCATATTAGTTTACCAGCAAATAAGTCATACACACGCTTCTTGCTACACGCATTAAAGAGGCTAATTAAACGTAAGATACTTGACTACTTTAGCCGAATTTTATCACAACAATTGAAGTCAGTGTGTTTACCCAACACGTTGCTGTACGTCCGAGTGAGAGAAGAGCTTACCTGCAGGTTAAAAACAGGTGGAAACCTCAGGCATCATCCGCACACCTTTGCGCACTCGCCATGTCCAGATTGTTTCACTCTGTTGACTGTCGCGAGCCCTGAGAACGTGCTCGTCTGTTTCCGCGGTGTGTTCGGTAAGACCACGCCCATCTCAGTGCAGGACCAGTTGCAGAAGTACCTGCTACTAAAACTCTAAAATAGTATTAAGCTTTAAATTGTTAATATTGTGGTCTCCTTTGTTTTACGTGAGTCTGTTTGTAAAACAAAACAAGTGTGCTATTGTGTCACCTGAGAACGGCAAAGTGTTCAGCACTTCGGATGTTTCCTTGGAACACACGCATGTCCCAGCTTGATCTTGAAGGCCTCGGGCTATGTATTCAGCACAGGCAGGAATGCAGCAGGATGCCTGGCTCAGTTAATGAAATGACTCCTGGAAAAAAACAACACATGTAGTTACATTATTTTCATCAATCATTGTTAATGCATGATATTATTCTGATGACGGTAGTTGAATTAATATAGTATTGAGGCTATACTGTATGACATGGAAATGTGTATTTCATACATGGCATTAATTGAACCAAAAACAATTATACTTTAGTTTAGATTATACGTAACACAGCAAGTGAATTGATTGTTTCAACATTTTTGGCAAATAAACATTAGGTAGCCTTTGTTTTTTTATTATAAAGTATCCCTAATCTTACTAGGCATAGTAATTCATTTATTTAAAAAACAAATTACAACCTAAGTTTCAAGTTAGTTTGTACTTCCAGTCATACCATTTCTCCAGAATAAAGTATGTACATTTTTTTATACCGTTGCTCGATCCCCTTGAAAATAAATATATTTGAAAATTGAGAAACGATAAGAACAGTTATAAGAAGTAATTATGTACAAATATGTGCATTTTACTACAGTGTAAAACAATGAATATGGAAAATATGAATACAAATGTAGTCTATACCAACAACAGTGAATATTAATAATGCTGAAAGATTATATCAATAAAAGGACAAATTGAGAAAACGCCTATCCAATGTTAAAGCATCAAGACCAATAGCAGGTGTATTAACAGTTCGACCCCATTATCATTAATTTAATAGGAATTTATGAACACATTTTTCAATAAGGCTTTATTTCAAATATATTCAACATCTTCTCGTGTATTTCCTGTCCCTCGATTGTCCCAATAACTTAAAATCAAAAGGGATAAAATAAGTTATAAAGATACAGTTTGCAGCACCAGCCACACGATGGTGACAGAGAGCAGCAGCTTCAAGGCAGAACAGGCCTTTCTCACTCAAAACATTGACATATTACAGAAGTAAAAGCACAAGAGTAAACAATAAAATCAATGATGGCTTCAGTTTCTAGCTGCTTCAGTTTGTAAAACACATTTTTCATCAAACAAAAAAAGATATTTCACCAAAGATTTAATATATGTTGTTTTTTGTATGTATTGGCTTTCTACTAACTACTAAATATTTCAGCCATGTGACTCTACAACCTCATCGTCAACATGCTTTCAAAACAACTGACATTTCTGCCATTGGGCAACAGTTTTGGGGCTGAATTTAAAGAGCTGACGTCTTTATCTGTCTGGACGTTCAAGCAGTAAAATGAGTGACAGAAGAATAGAGGAGAGGGATGAGATGTCTGGAGGACAGCACTCAGTCTTCCTGCAAATCTTTTGCTGTGGCTGCTCTTTTGTCCCTCCCTGCCACGCCTCCAGGAGTCGTCTTGGCAACATGTTTTACTACTGGCAGCCATATAAATACGACATTGGCTCCTGAAAACTAGGAAAGCTGTACACAGTAACACACAGGGACGGAGTGACCAAGGAGTTTTCTGCTTCAAATGTAAAAAGGAGGGAATAATTTAGAGATTTTTATATATTATTCACCATCATTGTGTTGGACAAGAGAATTGTTTTTGCCGTGTGCAATTGGACTAAAAAAAGGGCACAAAACAAGCTGGATTAGCACATCTGACCCATGATCCGTTGTTTTCTCTTCTCAGCATGGATGCAAATCTGCATGTGGATAAACTGATGGATGAAGAAGAGTCCCGTCATGGCAGGAGGAGAAAGAACAGTCTCCTCAACATGTTGACAGAAACGTGTGGGGGGCTTGAAGCTGTCAGAAGCAAAAGAAAGCATAATGATGGCACGGTGGGTGGAAGAAAATCCATAGGAGAAGAACCAGGTAGAGGCGAAGGAGAGGAAATACAGAGCGGCAGTGAAAAAGGGATGCTCAGTCCTGCAGAAGATAAGGAGGATGATGAAGAGGAGAGACTGTGCAAGCAGAGAGTTCTGGGAGTAATGAGGGAGCTCAGTGTTTTTCATTCTGAGAGAGTGACAGCGTGGAGAGGAGTTCTCAGAGATTGTGCCAACAAGTCTCCGCCAGGGGACAGTGATCAGCAGGAAGCGTCCACAACAGGTACGTGAGTTGATCTGACTGGTGCGTGTCTCTAGAAAAGGCTTACTTTGATTGAAGAACAAAAGGAAGTAGTGGAAGTGGAGGTCAGTGGAAGTGTAAACGTATAAGAAAAAGTTGAAATGTCAGAGGAAGTTTAATTGTAAGGATGACAAGTGTATGTTGAAGTTGAAACAGTTTCAGTTGACGTAAAAATGTAAGTATGAGAATAAGTTGAAGTGAAAATGACAGTTAAAATATAAGTATGAAAAAACTTAGAAAGACGGTAGTCTTTTTGCTGTCCACACAAATAATAGCTAAAGTATCTAGAATTGACTCTCGAAAATGCAGAAAACTGTAAAAGTTTAAAGTGGACCTATCATGCTTGAATAATATATTGTAGAGCCATACCTATATAAAACATGTCTGCGAAGTTTTTTTTTCAAAATACCAAACAGATCATGCATTTTAGCCATGCCTCATTTCACTCGATTTGCTCTTTTTTAGCCCTGTTTAAAACAGGGCTAAAAAAGAGCAAATCGAGTGAAATGAGGCATGGCTAAAATGCATGATCTGTTTGGTATTTTGAAAAAAAAACTTCGCAGACATGTTTTAT